GCCTATTGAATTGGCTGGAAATTAATACAGTTATAAATAAAACTTTGCTATGCCATAAGTATTTACCCCCATTGCTATGAAACCCCTACATTAGTTCCTTTATCCACACTGTGAAGCATGGTGGTGGTAGCATCTTGGCCTCTTGGTAACTTACTGTTATATGTAATGATGTTTGAAAATGTCCTGAGTAGAAAGTAGATATTTTTTCTTTTGAAATGTAGGAAGTAAAGGTTGAAATATTAAGTGATAGAAAGTCAAGTAAAGAGCAGATTAAAAACTTTAGTACAGTAAAGGAAGTCATTGTGCTTTAGAACTTTCCACCTCTGAGTGCGACCGATTTATTCTTAAATGTAATATGAACACAATCTAAAAGCTCATTATCTTATATTCTTATTATATCTGTGTTCAAAATGAGTGCTCCATTAGAAGACCAGAAATGAGGTGATATTCGACTTAATTCTTAAAAGGTTTTTAATGACATTAGTTTAAGACAGATTCTGATTAAAACGATCTTTTGTGCAACTGCTTCTACTAATTTTTATTTTGACTCGAACATTAGAAGAATGGAAACCTGCTTTATTCACAGTTGCTCTGGAATGATCCTGTGCATGGATGTGAAATATATAAATGAGAAATGTAGAACAATTCCTTTTAACACCTGATTAATTAGCAGTATGTTAAACATTAGCAAAAACTCTGGATTTAGAAAGTGTCGAGTGAAGTGTCAGAGGTTGTTCCAGCGTTCAGTAACTGACAGAGACACGGTGAATAACGGGCTTTCAGTGAGGACGGCGGATTCATTTTAGCAGCGTATTGGACGGGGAACAGAAGGAGCTCGCTATTCACCACACGTCAGCTAAAGAATGTCATAGAAAAAGCAAAAAGCGAAGACGTTTCCTTCACTGTTCCTGCATTATAAATCTCTCCTCCTATGACAGAAAAATAAAATGGAAAAAAAAGCAAAATGAGTATCAGATTAGGATGCAATTAAATCGAAAAAAAAAATCTTAAAAAAAAAAAGAAAACGTGGTTTCACTTCTTTTTTGTCTAAAAGCAATTTTCACATGAAAAGAAGAACACTTGAAAGAACATTATGCTTTTGAATAGTAGATTCTCTTTTACTCTGGTGATGAGTCGGAAAAAAAGTGACCGCTTGCAGTTCCTGCGATGGTTTGAATGATCAGTCGAGGCTGACATCACTACCTCTCACACTCCGATTCCATCAAGCCTTTTTTCCCGAACATTAAAAAAAAATGCACTGTTTCGTTTTGTTCCCATTTAACATTAGCAATAAATGATGTTTTTTTTTTCTCCCAGCAAGGAGTGAACATGAGGAACATAATTGCCATAACTTCATTTTAATTTTTTATTAATCGTTTAAGCCTCTTTGTAACTCCTGACTCGTGACAGACAAAAAATGCTTCCATCTGTGTTTTTTAAATATATTTTAGGATATTTTCCATCATTTTAATGTTAATTACTTATTTTGCTAAATTTTATTTTAATAAATTTAAATAACATTTATACGTCCATGATGCGTAAAAATAAATGGTAAATTATTGAAATTATTCTATAATTTTATGTGTCTATACAATACCATGCATTTTAATTATAATACACTTTATTTGAATAACTTTAAATAAATAAATAAATGTTCAGTTATTGATAGAAATATTTTTATACTTTTATTCCATCCATCTAATCTATACTTAATAAACTGTAATTTTAAAAAATTTTATTTTAATCAATTTAAAAATAGCTTCTGTGATAAATACAAATAAATCGTTGATAGATCTATTTTTATTCCAACACACTTAACTATACTGAGCATTATTTTTTCAACAAGTATTTTTTAAATCTCTTCTTATTTCCTGTAACAGTGTTCTGTAATTTTTTTTTTTTGGATGATGTTATGATTCAGGTTAAATTTTTTAAATAAGTTGAATAATAATAATTTGATAAATTTTACTAGCAATGATTTGAGACGTCTGACAATTGAGTGTGTTCTTACGAAAAAAAACAAGCAAATAAAAATATTGAATATAAAATCATTTAAAAATAATTAAAAATGAAAAAAAAAAAAAAAAAGAAATTAAAATAATCATTTTAACTATTTTAAAAAATTTAAATGAAAATCCATTTATTGAAAAATGGACATTTTTGTACAAAAACACATAATCAAATTTTCAAGCAGATCTTTTCCTTAAAAATTTAATAAGATAATTCTAAAAATAAATCCGCTTGTGTTGACTGATGAATTGATGAATAATTGATGAATAATTTCAACATGTTATTTTTCAGCTCAATGCAAAAGAAAAAAAAGAGACTATTAGCCTGTGTTAACTGGCTTTATGTGTAATAAGCCAACATTATCTTAATAATCAGATTATTCCTGATTTATTTTTCGTGTAATTGCTAACGCCCTTTGAAGCGAGGTGTTTTTGTAATTGTAGTCACTTTCTGTTTTAAATGTTAGAACGTCTAACAGTTCAGCAGGATGTCACCTCACCACGTAATGATGCCCAGTGACATTTCTGTTCTTTTTAACTTTATAATCAGACAGCTTGAGGTCTGACAGCGTGAAGATCCCGGAAACTGCAAGAGCTGACCTTTCTCTTTAAATCCAGCTCAGGTGTTTTTCAGTGGAGTAATCATCAGTTTCTCACTGTGCATTATTCCACACGCATTTCTTCACAAAACGTTCTGTCTAGAACCCTTAAAGGTTCTCCGGTTTTCCCACTCAGGGAACACTTAAAGGTGTAAAGGTTTCCCTTTCACAGACTGTTCTCACAGCTGGAAACTAAGAAGCCTTAACTATCAAAAAAATAATAATTTAGCTTAAAGAACGTTCTGACTTCTGTTTAAAATGTGTTGGGCAAAATTTCAAATAAAGTATTGGCATGCAGTGTTAGTGAAATTGTCAAAATAAATCAAGGGAAATAAATTAGTCTATAAATTAAAAGTAGCAAGTAAAAATTATACTTTTTCCACAAGTAAAAAAAATAATAATTTTTGCCAAAATTAGAATTTTCAGATTTGTAAAAATTGACTAAGGTTGTTTGCACACTTGTGCCATTTTCCCCGAGAGTTTGTTACGATTAGTGAAGTGTGAACCATTCTGTTACTTCCTATTGCACATTTCATAATAGTAGAGAAAGAGTTGTTCAGGTCAGTGGAGGACACGAAAAACATTACTGATTCATAAACCCAGACTTTCACAGGACTGGAGCGCTGTAATCGGCTCTGCTTTGTGGTGTGAGTGTGCTACAAGAGCGGCTCCTTGTTTGCCATGCTTCTAAACAACCGTTCTTCACCTCTTGATTGTTGGCACCGCAGGAAAATAATAAAAAAGAAAACACAAACTGATGATCTGAGTGCCGACCATTTTGCAAACTGAAAAAACTGAGAAAACGTTCCCATGCAACTTATCTACACCTTCTATACACTGGATCTCACCGTTCCTTCACAACGGATCACTCGAATGCTCTGTATGTCATGTTCTGGACCGACGTATTTTAACCAAACTGACCTCTACACTATGCTATATGATTAAAATCCATATGTAAAAGATCATTTTACTTCTTTTTTAAACATATTGAGCATTGTCCACTTCATGTATGAAATATGCAGGTATTTTTAAAACACAGAAAGTCCCTGAAAGTAGTCTAAAGAAGTTTCCACCTGAAACTATCCACATTTTAAAGTCAGTTTTTACATATAGATCTTATTCAAATAGCTTTTTTAAAAGGAAAGGTTAAAATGCAGTGTAAAAGTGCAGTTAAAATGCTGTGGTAGTTTAGTGGTTAAACTATTGGACTATTGATTTGAAGGTTGTGAGTTCAATTCCTAGCACTGCCACTGCTGGGCCCTTGAGCAAGGCCCTTAAGCCTCAACTGCTCAGATGTATAAATGAGATAAATGTAAGTTGCTCTGGATAAGGGCGTCTGCCAAATGCTGTAAACGTATGGAAAAGTTTGATTTGTTGCTATGCAACGTGAGCTTGTGACAGACGGTTGATATGTAAAGTATAGATGTTGCTGCAGATTAGGGTGCATGTGAACGCTTTTTTGGTGTGTATGGAATTGCAGAAGGGATCTTTATAAGCTCCGCCCACAAACGAGGCCAGAATCGTTCCTGGGTGCGGACTTGAGTATTCGGGCCACTTTTTTTCCTTATATGAAAAAAAAAATTGGCTGACAAGATGTAAAAATCACACTGTAACCATAGCACCGCTGTTACCACTTTTGCTTTCTGGTTGTTCCCACTAATTTATTTTTTATTTTAATGATTTCTAAATATTCAACCCAACTACGGCAAAGAAGATGCCTTGTCTCTCTTATTCACTCGCTAAAAAATTCATTTTTCTATCATCACTCTGTCTTTTATATTGTTTTTTCCCCCAATGAGTTGTGATCTGATTCGTTGGTTAAAAGCAGCCTTTATTCCTTTTAAAAGATACAAAGGTTACGGTTAGGGCTAGGGGGCGGGGTTAGGGGGCGGGGTTAGGGGAAGGGGTGGGGTTAATGGTTTTACCTTATATATATAAAAATTGCTATCTATACAAATTGCTAAGGGTTTGATAGGATAATTATAATCGAGTTAATAAAATTTAAATGTACAGAAATGTGAGTGATTGAATTGACAGCCAGGCAAAAATAAATATAAAATGATAAAACAATGAAATAGTATAGCAGTGATTTTGATATTAGTACCAAGTACAAAGTTTGAAAGGCTAAATAAAAATAAAATATATTTTCATGGAAATATAATTCATTTTAATTAATTAATTTTTAAAAAATGAATTTTATTTATACCACAGTTCCATAAAAAAATTGTTGTTCTTTAGTCAATGAAAAACGATAATTGTTAAGGAATAAAACACTTGGGGACATGCTGTTATAGGAAAATTATCAAGTCTTAGTTGGTAACAGTAATTCCGCTTCATCACACCACCCTGTCGTTGATTATTTTCCTATAACAGCACGACACCGTATAGTGTTTTATTCCTTATTTATACCCATGTAAAATACAAATCCACTTAAAAATGGAACTTAATAACAACAGAGTAATTTCTGAAGTACTTTCCGCTTGAGTTCACTGTAAACGCTTGTTTGTGACTCCGCCCCCCAGGTGACTACGTGGTGATGACGGTTTATTTCGACCTGAGCAGAAGGATGGGCTACTTCACCATCCAGACGTACATCCCCTGCATCCTGACCGTCGTCCTCTCCTGGGTCTCCTTCTGGATTAAAAAAGACGCAACGCCAGCCAGAACTGCTTTAGGTACACTCCTCACACACACACACACACACACACACACCTGTTAACTCACAACCACGTTATATACAAATCAAGGTCTCCTAATGCACTACGCAAAGTGTGACTCGTTTCCCTGGTATTGGTGATATAATGTGTTATAAACACTACTTGTAATGCATCACGTTAGCAATTATAATGCATAATGAAAACAGGTATAAAGTGCAATGTTAAATAATTATAACAATGTGTTTAATGCATTAGGAATGCATTATAACATGTTATGAATGTAGTCGTACATTTCGTTATACATATGGTCTTCATAGACAGTGTTATAAGTATAGTAACATATGAATACATTCATAATATGTTATAACATCTCAGTTTTTAAATGAATTATAAACATTCCTATAAACTTTAAAGTATTTTTATAAATCATGCTAATAATGTGTATAATGCCTTATGAATGCATTATTACATGTTATGAATGTATCTGTAGGCCATAACACATATGGCAGGTCTCAATTTTTAAATTAATTGTTTACATTGTCAACATTGCTCTAAACCGTAATGCCTTTTCTTTTTTTAAATCAGTCATTCAAACAATGTGAATAATGCTTTATGAATGCATTATAACATGTTATTATACATATGGTCTTCATACACAGTGTTAATTAGGTCAGGTCTCAGCTTTTAAATTCATTATAAACTTTGGTCATAACTCTAATGCCTTTTTTATAAATCATTCTAACAATGCTTATGTTTATAATAATGTTTATAATGTTTATAATGCCATGTTTATAATGCTTTATGAATGCATTATAACATGTTATGAATGTATCAGGGCAGGTCTCAATCTTAAATTCATTATAAACTGTAATGCCTTTTTTATAAATCATTCTGATAATGTTTATAATGCTTTATGAATGCATTATAACATGTTATGAATGTATTCATAGATTACTTTACATACATATGGTCTAACAAAGTGTTACAGAGGTAATTTATCTGCTGGATTTAATCTCTGAAAGTCTTAAAGTGCCAGTAAATCCATCAGTTTTAAATTAGCCAATGACCTTCCATGCCCTTTTTTTTTTTTTCGAGTCGCCTCTTCAGTAAAATGGATGTGACAGAAAAGCCCCACTGTGTGTTTTCAAGATAACAACAGGTTGGGTAGCGGACAAAGCCCATCGCATCCCGAGAACCAGAAATGGAAGCGGAGGAGACGAGTCCCAGTGTCTGTCTCCTGTGTTGGGAAGGGGGAAAAAAAAAAAAGCAGGAAAGATAGTCGAGGAAGAAAAGAAGGATGGATGCAATTAATCTGTCTGACAAAAGAAGTCATTATGCTTTCGGTGGGGGGAAAATGAACAGGCCAAAAAAAAACAGATTTGTTTTACACACATCCGGGTTGATGAATGGAGTCCAGAAAGAAACGACAGGAGAACGATGAGACTCGTAGACACAGCCAAGGGAAGGTCACGCCAAGCAGAATACCACGGCTTTCAGTCTATCACGTGTGGAGTTTTTAGGCTATATACAATGATGTTTTACGGCAGCGTAGGCTTGAGTCGATTGACGATGTTGTCATAAATACGTCAGCTGACATACAGCTGATATATAACTGACATAACTCAGTTATTAGCATTCTAATGTAAATTACTCAGTGTTATAAAACAACCGTACTGTATGTCATCTGACTCGATCATAACATCAAGCAATTTTTTTATGCCAGCTAAAGATTATCAGAATAAGGCTTTGTAAATGTTTATGTAGGTGTTATGTTGCCTAATAACCTAGTACGCACTACCCTTTAGTAAATTATTAGAAAAAAATATACATTAGTCAGCTTGGAAAAGGGATATAACACAACCAATTGTCATGAGACTCAAATGGAGCATCAAGCAGGTTTGGTGTCAGCTTGTCCGTTGTTGGAGTAAACATTAGAAAAGTCTATGTAGGTGTTATGTAGCTTAATAACCTAATAAACATTACCCAACAAAACATGAATATATAAATACCCAAAACAGTGTTATAACACAACCAAGTGTCATTTGAACATAATCGAACATAACATCAAGCAGTTTTTATATGAACTGAGGCATAATGAACTAAGCCTTTATAAATGTTTATGTAGCCTAATAACCTAATAAACATTACCTTTTTTGTAAAATGTTAGGGGGAAAAAAGGTCAAAATATGTCATCTAAGAAAGTGTTATAACACAGCCGTATGCTGTTTGACTCAAATGTAATGTCAAGCAGGTTTCATATAAACTTATGCTTATTGGAATAAGCTTTTATAAATGTTTATGTAGGTGTTATTTAGCCTAATAACCTAATATGCACTACCCTTAGTAAAATATTAGAAGAAAGATAAATATATAAGTTATCCTGGAAAGTGTTATAACACAGCCAAGCTTACTTTGACACAAATAAACATCAAGCAGTTTTTATATCAACTGATGCTGGAATAAGCCTTTATAAAGTTTGTGTAGGTATTATGTAGCCTAATAAGCACTACCTTTTAGTAAAATGTTACCATCAAAAGTATCTGGAAGCCTCAGGATGATGACGAGATCACTTCACAGAACTCTTATTAAGGTTTCATGATAATTAGTGTCATAACATTTACTATGTCAAAGTGTTATAAAGCAAGTTTTCATTTATGATGATGTTCTAACATAAGTAAGTCGGCTTGGAAAGTGTTATAACACAAACAAATGTCATTTGATTCAAACGTAATGTCAAGCAGGTTTTATACCAGCTGACACTTACTGAAATAAATGTTTATGTAGGTGTAATATAGCCTAATAAGCACTAACCTTTATTAAAACGTTACCAGATAGAGTATCTGGCAGCCCAAACATCATGATGATGATGATGATGATGAGATCACTTAACAGAACTCTTATTACAGTTTCATTGTCAGGTGTTATAACTTGTGTTATAACATTCATTATGTCAGTGTTATGTAGTTACCGTGAAGTTCTAATGTAAAGTGTTATAGAACAACCATATGTCATTTAACTCAAACGTAATGACAAGCAGGCTTGGTAACACTTTCATATGAATTATGACCTACGAATACATTCATAGCATGTTATAATGCATTCATAAGGCACATGAGTGGCTGGGGAAATTGATTCGAACTCAGGATTTGAGTACTTTTGAACACTGTTCCTTTGCACCACTCCTCAGTGAAGACCAGACAGTCGTACAGGCCAAACATCAAGCTGTGGCATGCCGTAACAAGCAATCAAAGTGATTTTAACCAGCAAGTCACTAGAATCATGATCACTCTTTTCTTTCTCCGCCTCCATAAACCCCAGTTGTGTGTCTGATGGGCTAGTGTTAGAGCTAAGTGCCTCTGTGAATCATGCCGTATTGCAGAAATGCATTCCAATGAGCTTTTTTCTAGCTCAGAAATGCAGTCGGCTCTCTGACAAAGTGCCAGTGCATTAAGAAGAGGCAGGTTAAGCTAATCACGGTGACCAGCGGTGGCACAGTACAGAGAATGGGAGGACGAAACAGCAGACTGAAATAGATGTGGCTTGCTTGTTTCCATAGAAACCTCTGGAAAACACTGGGGCAGTCAGTGGGGTTCGGTGG